GCATTTCTGGAAGTTCTTTGTCAATATACTGTTGCAAACTTTTTGAATTATCTTCAGCAAGATTTTACTTGCGTGTGATATTAATGATATTGTTCGGTAGTTTCCACATTCTGTGGGATCACCTTTCTTTGGAATGGGTACAAATATGGATCTCTTCCAGTCAGTTGCCTGGGTAGCTGTCTTCCACATCTCTTGACATAGGTGGGCGAGTGCCTCCAGTGCGGCTTCCGTTTGCTGAAAACATTTCATTGGGCATTCTGTCAATTCCTAGAACCTTGTTTTTGCCACATCCTTCAGTGAAGCCTTGACTTCTTCCTTCAATATCATTGGTCCTTGATCATATGCCATCTCATGAAATGGATAAACATTGACCAATTCTTTTTGGTATAGTGACTCTGAGTATTCCTTCTGTTTTCTTTGGGTGTTTCCTGCATCATTCAATGTTTTGCCCATAGAATCTTTCAATATTGCAATTCAAGGCTTAAATTTTTTCTTCAGTTCTTTCAGCTTGAGAAATGTTGAACATGTTCTTCTCTTTTGGTTTTCTAACTCCAGGTCTTTGCACATTTCATTATAATAAATGACTTTGTCTTCTCAAGCGGCTCTTTGAAATCTTCTGTTCAGCTCTTTTATCTTGTCATTTCTTCCATTTGTATTAGCTACTCTCCATTCAAGGACAAGTATCAGAGTCCCTTCTGAGATCCATTTTGGTCTTTTCTTCCTTTCCTGTCTTTTTAATGACCTCTTGCTTTCTTCATGGATGACGTTCTTGATGTCAGCCCACAATTCCTCTGGTTTTCATTCTTTGGTGTTCAATGCATCAAATCTATTCTTTAGATGGTCTCTAAATTCAGAAGGGATATACTCAAAGTCATATTTTGGCTCTCATGGAGTTCTTTTAATATTGTCTGCAACTTCAACCTGAACTTGCATATAAGCAGTTGGTCTGGTCCACAATCAGCTCCTGGCTTTGTTTTGGCTGTAGCTTTTCCATAGCCTCTTGCCACAGAGGTAGTCAATCCGATTCCTGTGTACTCCATCTGGCAAAGTCCACATATATAGCCACCATTTGTGTTGCTGAAGGAAAGTATTTGCAGTAAATAAGTCATTGGCCTTACAAAATTCTATCATGTGATCTATCATGCAAATTTACTACTTGATCACTATTTGTACAAGATTATCTAATTCACTCCCTCCAGGTCTTTTGCTCAAGTGTCTCCTTATGGGTGAGTTTTCCTTGATAGCCCTATTTAAAACAGAACAATCCACAAACATAGAAACATATAGTCTTTGCCGGCTGGATTCTCTAGAGTAGCAAAACCAATGAAGTTTGTGTGTGTGTGTGTGTGAATATATCCCACTGCCATCAATTTGATTCTGACCCACAGTGACACTACAGGACAGAACAGAACTGCCCCATAGGTTTCCAAGGCTATAAATCTTTTACAGAAGCAGACTGTCACATATTTCTCCTGTGGAGCAGCTTGGTGGGTTTGAACCATGACCTTCTGGTTAGCAGCCAAATGCCTTAACCACTGCACCACCAGGTCTCCTTAAATGTATATGTTTTTGTTGTTGTTATTTGCTGTTGAGTCAGACTCGACTCACAGCGACCCCTCCTTGGGTTTCTGAGGTAGTATCACTATGGAAGTAGATTACCCAACCTTCCTTCCAAGGAGTGGCTGGTGGGTTTGAACCGCCAGCTTGCTGGTTAGCAGTCAAATGCCTTAGGCACTATCCTACCAGAGCTCCCTAAATATATATAGAGAGAGAGAGGGAGAGAAAAAAGAGAGTTATTTATACCAAGGAAATAGCTCATATAGTTGTGGAGGCTGACAAGTCTCAAATCCATGGGTCAGGTGTCAGGCAAGAGGCTTCTCCTTATTCATGTGGTTGAAAGGGCTGACAAACCCAAAATTGGCGAGTCAAGCAACAGGATGCCGGCTCACACCCAGAACTGGAGATCAGATGATGACAAATTGGATGCAGGATTGAGAGTAAGAGCTCTGCCAGGACATCGACATAAAGTGGACACATTACACACCGCTAAGGAAATAACCCTTACATTAGATCACAAAATGGAAGATAATTATATAGTACTGAGAATCATGGCATTGTGAAGTTGACACATAACATTAACCATCACACAACCAATGAACATGTTAAGAAAAAAACCAAACTCACTGTCGTTGAGTCGAACCCAACTCATAAGTGACCCCTCCTTGGGTTTCTGAGGCAGTATGGCTATGAAAGTAAAATGTCCAACCTTCCTTCCAAGGAGTGGCTGGTGGGTTTGAACTGCCAGCCTTCTGGTTAGCAGTCAAATGCCTTAGGTACTATGCTACCAGAGCTCCAATGAACACATAGACACAAAATTATAAGTACAATACCACTTATAATTGCTAAATAAAAATGAAATAGTGAGCTATAAAACCAAGCTCACTGTCATTGAGTTGACTCAGACTCATAGAGACCCCCATTGTATTTCCAAGGCTTTACAGAAATAGATTGCCCCATCTTCCTTCCACAGAGTGGCTTGTGGGTTTGAATTGCCAGGCTTCTGATTAACAGTCAAATGCCTTAGGCACTGTGCCATCAGAGTTCCTTATAGTTAGATAGAAATCTAACAAAATACCTACAGCTTATATGCTGAAAACTACAAAATACTGAGAGAAATCACAGAAGATCTAAATAAATGGAGAGATACATCATTTTCATGGGTTGAAGGACTCAATGTAATAAAGATATCTATTCTTCCAAAACTGATATACAGGATTAACTAAATTCCTATCAAAATCCCATTAAGATTTTTTGTACATACAGACATGGTTATTCTAAAATTTACGTGGAAAGGCAAAAGAATTAAAATAGATGAAATAATTTTGACCAAAAAAAAAAGTTGGTGGAATCAGTCTACCTAATTTCAAGACTTATAGCTATATCACCAATGCAATGTGGTATTAGCAGGAGAGATACAAAGATTAATAGAACAGAATAGAGAATCCAGAAATTGACCACACAAATATGACTACAAGAGTGGTGAGAACAGACATCCTTGCCTTGTTCTTTTGACAAACGTACAAAAGCAATTCAATGGGGGAAATGATGCTAAAGCCTTTTCAACAAATGATGCTAAAGCAATTGGGTGTCCATAGGCAAAATATAAACCTTGACCTAAGTCTCACATCTTACACAAAAGTCAACTCAAAATGGATCACAGATTTAAATGTAAAATGCAAAACTCTTAACACTTTTAAAAATAACTGGAGAAAATCTTTGGGATTTAGGGCTAGGCAAAGAGTTCTTAAACCTGACACCAAAAGAATGTTCTGCCTTATCTCCCCACCAGTCTCCAAGATTTCCTCATCTACCACCCCCAGCACACTCCCTTTTCTAACCACTCCCGGTAGAACCTGAAGGAGACACACATACATGGTGAAAGATGGGCAGAATGAGCTGACATTAACTCCCTTTTGGCACTATCAGTATTTCTAATTACAAACAAGCCACCCCACTCCTTGAGTTACTTTTTAACCCAGAATGAAGCCAGTTGGTGAAAATGAATGTTTTCCAGTCACCCTGATTGGGCCTGATGCTAATCCTCATAGGTGGCCTGGGGCTTTGCCAGGATCTACAGGCCAGAATCTGCCCGCTTCCCACCTTCTAATGGGTCTTGGCTGTATCACCACATGGGAGGGGCATAGTGTACTCCCTCTACAGACAGCCCTTTGAGGAGGAGACTTCCTTAGTCCCCTTCCCACTGAGCCCCTGTGGGCCCCTCAGAAGCCCACTGTGGAGGAGTCCCCACTGCATAGGACCACAGAGCAGGGTGACACAAGTCAGTCCCGGCCTCTATCAGGTGGTACTCCTCCTCTGGCTTTCAAACATGTTGAACAGGCTGATAGGTTGCCACAAAGGGAGGCAGGGGGCATGTGGAGACCTCTGAGGGGTTTTCAGCACTCACACAGTTAAGGTGAGAGGGCCATAGCCCAAGTAGGGCCACAGCCCAAGTAGGGCCACATCTGCCTATCCATAGTAACCACTGCTGCTGCCAGTAAGCAGGAGGTAATTCGGGTTCTGAGGAAGGGTGCAGAGGTCTACTGGAGCGTGCTGTGCTTGCCCAGATGGGGCAGCATTTACCGGATAAACCAGGGCCCAAGAAGACGCAGCACAGGCAGGCTGGGTGTGGGCAGGCAGAGGCAGCAGTCCCTCCCGCCTCCCCAGCAGCCAGATTCTGGTTTCCTCCTGTACTTCCTTCTGGCCCTTGGTGGTGTAAGGCCTGAAATCAAGGTCCAATTAAGTGCTGCCCTAACATCTGAGACCTGACATCTGGAGGGCCTCAAATGGCCTCACTGTAAGTTCTCCGCCTTCCTCTGCTCCTGTGGAGAAAGCCCCTTAGCCAAACCACCATCCTTACTGTGGGGACCAGGTACAGTGACCGCTCATCCTTGAGTAGGTTTCAGTTTCCTATCAGCCCACAAAATCATTCAAACAAGCCAATCACATACCCCTGCAGCATACAGGGGTCACCCTGACCTCTTGTTAATACAAAGCTTGCCTCCCACAACCCTTGCTTGTTCACTCGGTTCCCAATGACAGCCCCTTTGTGGCCCTGCATGGTACAGTGTCCTCCTCCCTCAAACTGTGAGTCTATGTGACCAGTAAACTCTGTCACTCTCATCCGTCCCGTGTCACCGTCCTGTGTATGACCATCCCTATAACCCTATGGCAGGAATCCCTCCTTCACCAATGGAATGAAGAGGTAAATTAAACACCTTCCTCCTCCTCCTCTGTTGTCTGTCTCTCATCGCACAGGCCCCCAGCTTGAGCTTTCTTATCACTCCTGCTCTAATTGAGTCAGTCCCAGTATGCACAGCTGGAGATGTTCTAATCCACACTGTGTACACCCTCATCCCAAAGTGGAGCTGTGGTCTGGGCTCAGCAGACAGAGGGAAATGACCAGCTTCCTGGAAGAACATATCCAGCCCAACCCAGCATACCTGTGAGCGGACTGGGAGACCCAGGCCCCGCTTGTCTGATACGATGACTGTGATTGTGGTCTTGAGGATGGTGGCAAGGAATGTGTTGATCCCAAAGACCAGGGCACAGAGCTCTTTTGATAGAGAAGATGCAATCTGAAACCTTAATGGGGAAAAACAAACAGAAGTCAGGATTCAATGAGAGGAGGACAGGAAGCACTAAGAAGTGCAACATGGAAACCCCACTCTGGTAGAAGACAGTGCCTCTCTGGAAATGAAATGTCCATCAGGTGCAGTCCACCTGCCCTTCAACATACTCTGTGTCCACACCCAGCTGTGTGTGTCCCACTAAGCAGGACCAGTTAGGCCAAGAGGGCTCCAGGAGGACGAGCCCAACAGACCAAGCCAATTGCCTGGAGCACGCAGTGTGGTGGCGGTTGGGGGCACGTGGTTCAGGCCGTCACAGCCTGATGCAACAACTCAACCAAATGAGTATAAAACATAACTACAGGGAGATGCTCAAAAACTCTACTTAACTCTAGAGCAGAAACCAGATCAAAATCGTTATAAACTCCCTGACAATAAGAACCACGATAACAGGATATTAGCAAAATGTGTGGGCAAATGGCAGTCACCAGGAAAATTATCAAATTAGTCTTTTGTCAGTAAATGAATTGAGTATCTAACTCAATAAGTTAGGGAAGGAACAATAAGATAGATCAGGAAAGCAGGAGGAATTAAAAAATTGAAAGTAGAAATCATACTTAGGAATACTAGTAGTCTGGACAAGTCGAGATGACTTTTTTTTTTTTAAAAAATTTTTATTGTGATTTGGGTGAAAGTTTACAGAGAAAATTGGTTTTCCATCCAACAACTCATACATATTTTGTTTAGTAACACTGATGGCAATCTCACAACATAACTCTTCCATTTCCTCCCTGTGTTTACCATTTCTCTTCGCCCTTCTTTCCTATCCCTTCCTGACTTTTGAGCTTTATCCAGGGGCAAATTTTGCCCTTTTGATCTTCTATGGTTGATTGTACTTAGGAGTACATACTTCCCTGGTGTTACTGTTCACCCAATATGCCTACTGTTCAGCTGAAAGTTGAGGCACAGGGGCCAAGTTCAGTTCCAGGCTTGCAGGGTGACTAAGGGCCAGTCTCAGGGACTTCACCAGTCTCCACCAGACCAGTAAATCTGGTCTTTTTTTTATGATCTTGAGTTTAGTTCTACATTTTCAGATGAAGACTCCTGACAAGTAATTGAAGAGAGAGACCACTCTCCCAACAGGGAGAAATAAAATGTCAGAGCTCCAAGCCCTCTGCAAAGTACATTAATGTTGTAATGTGGTTCTAATTAAAATCCCAAAAGGGCTTTAAAAAAATAAAAGGACAAAAAATGTCCTAACATTCATCTAAAAATAAAAGAATAAACAATCCAAAGAAAACATTAAAAAGACTGATGTGAGGCCAAGAGACTTTCACTGTTAGATCTTCACGCTCTTGGTGGACTCAGGAAAAGCAATAGTAAGTCAATGAAATGCCAGGATATTCAGGATGGCAGAAGAGAAGACAAAGCCCAAGTGGAAACCAGCATAGACACGAATTCAGTATGTGATGAAGAAAGCAGGAAAACTAGGAAGAAAGGGCCTGGACAACAGATGAAGCTGACCTGAGGTTACACCATTGCCCTCAGCCCAGCATCTATGACCCGGGGCAGGATGTGGACAAGACCACCTTGCCACTTCACCTGGCCAGCTCCAATCATCACGTGTAAAAATGAAAGTAAAGCAGAAAATGAGAAGACAGATGTAACCTACATGACAATATCCATCCTCATTCTAATGGAGTCTCTGGGTGGTACAAATAGTTAAGTGCTGGGCTGCTGACATAAACACTAGAGGTTCGTATCTACCATAGGTGCCTTGGTGATCTACTTCTGAAAGATCAGACATTGAAAACCCCACGGAACACAGTTCTGCTGTAACACACATGGCTTACCATGAGTTAGATACAACTCCATGGCAACCAGCTATCCTCACTCTAATAGGTAATAAGCGTACTATAGATAAGTAAGGAAAAAACACTAATCTATAGAAAGGCACAAGATGTGAACTTACTAGTCACAAACATGATATTAAAATGATCACTAATCTACTCCCAGGGGTCATCTTTCAGTCAAATAGTGGACTGGGCTCATAAAATAAACAATATCACTAATAAGTACTATGCTCCTTTAAATAGTCACCTATATGAGACTAAACAGTCAACTGTACTCTAAAGAAAAGATGAGAAGATAAGGGGAGGCAGGGAAGCTAGATCAAAGGAAACAGGACAAGCAGAATGGAAATAGTGAGAATGTCGACACATTGTGAAAAACATAACCAGTGTCACTGAACAATATGTATAGTTTTTTAAATGGGAACCTATTTCACTGTGTAAACTGTCGCCAAAAACACAATAAAATATTATAAATAAATAAAAGGTCACTAAGGACACAAAGGAGCTCTGGTGGCAGAGTGGATAAAGCATTTGGCTGCTAACCAGAAGGTCAGCAGTTCAAATCCACCAGCTGCTGCGCAGAAGGAAGACTGGGCAATCTACTTCCATGCCTTAGAAACCCAAAGGGGGTCACTATAAGTGGGAATCAACTCAATAGCAGTGAGTTTGGATTTTTGGTTTTGAAGGCCATGAAAGAGTTGGCTTCACTGTAACAAAAGCAGACCCTGAGAGTGCCAGGAGCTCGCAGTGAAGAAGGAACTGCACATTCCTGGGAGGCAGGTATACAGTGTTCACCAAAAGCCCCTTTCAAAAGCACACACCCTCTGACAGACCAATTCCTTCTAGGAGTCTGCCTGAGGGTCACTGTCAGAATCTGAGATGAAAAATGCAAGTGTGAGAATAATCTGCCTGTTACAGTGGAACACTGAAATGGACTTCACCTACTTATGGGGGTTAAACAAAGTGGTATGTGAGTCATTTCCAAGAGGGACCCATTGTACGTGCACAGTGAGTGGGAACAGCAGGGATGGATGTGGGACCTGATGTCTGCATGTCGAGATAGACTCCTGAACTTCAGCACCAATTGGGTCTTCAGCAAGGAAAATGTTACCCAGGAGCAAGGTCCTAGTTGGAGCTGACAGGCAGCCTGAGTGTGGCTGTGGTATGGGCATAGCCCAGGCAGTACTGGCCCCTTGGAAGACTGAAAGGATGCTGGTTCAATGCAGGCCTTGTACCTGGAAGAGGTGTGGCCTGAGGACTGGGGAAGGGTCATCTCCGGAGGGGCAGCTCTGGGTGTTCAGGAGCCTATAGCACTCCCCAAACTCAAAAAAACAAACCTGGGGGAAAGCATGCTAGAGAGTCATTCTGATTCATATGAGGTCCAGAGGGTGCCCCCAGGGGAGCCAGGGCATCATAAAGAGTGTATAAGCTGGGGCGACATCCTCAGAGTGGGATGGGACTGGTTGCTAGACCTTCTCACTGGATGGAAAGGTGAGAGCAAGCATATAAAGGGAAGCTGGAGGAGGCATAGAGGGCCAAGTTCCTTATGCAGTATGTTGTGTATGGGTGGGCACATGTGTGTGCATATGGGTATACACATGCATGTCCACGATGTGCACTTGAATACATGTTGTATGTATGCACTGGGTGCCTCACGCCATGAATGAGTCCACATTGTGTATGAATGTGCATCATGTATACACGAGTACATGCATGCTGTGTGTGCATGCACACATGTCCACCCAGGTGTGCACACTCCTAATCCCTCTGGCCTATTTGAGGGTGACAGGAATAGGGTCAGGATGAATGGGAGAGCTCAGAGCAAGGATCCCTGGTGTGAGTACCTGGGGTGGACCGGTTGGTAGCACAGCATGGTCCAGGGAAAGCCCAAGTGCAAAGGCAAGGGCAGAGATCCTAGAGCATGCAGGCACACAGCTTGGGAAGATGTGAGAGGTATAAGTAGGGCCAGCCAGCAGGCAGCATGGGATGTCCCTTGCCAGTGGAGGGTACAGGTAGTGGAGGGTCCTGAGTTATGCAGTGCATGAGAAAACAAGGCATCAGGGCAACCCTAGTGCAGAAGACAAGGCTGAGATGGTCTCACTTCTGGTAGTGAGCACTGCCCAGCAGAGCACAGGGCAAGGGGGGGAAAGACCCTAGCCCAAGAACAAGGCAGCAGAGCTGATTTTGTGGGAAAGGGAAGGGGACTGGGAGGGAGGGCTTCATGATATCCAGGCAGAACATCAGTGCGAAGCCTGCCCTGGCAAGCCCTGAAGGGTCATTGAAGGAGGCTGCTGCTTGACCTTCATGTTCCTATCCTACTTCCCAATTAAGAGTATAGCCAATTGTACTCAGGGAGCCCTTCGATACCAAGCAGTAGTGATAGGAGACCTGAGGGCATGGCAGGAGGCTCACCTGTATAGGGACAGGGCCTGCGGCGAACAGTTGACAGTGGCTGGCTCAAGGTGCCCAGGGCCCCCGTTGCCCCCCTGGTGTGACACACCACCCCTCCAGGTTTAGAGCCCAGATCCTCACAGCAGCACCACCCCTCTGATCCCCACACATTCCCAAAGCCAGCCTCCTACATGTGGACACCTGTTAGTCACCCACCCAGCAGCACAATGTGTCCACCAAGCACATGGCCAGCCCTGCTCTGGAGCACCTGGAGCTGATTAGAGGAGGAACACCAGAGCTAGTAGGCCCCACCCAAGCTCACTCACTCGCCGTGTCTGACTCACGTGGCAATGGGCACCAGGAACTGGTAGGCGCCACGGAAGAGCACGAAGGTGACATAAGAGACCCAGATGTTGCTGGTGCTGTACATGAGGAAAATGAGGCCAGCCTGGGTGACTGTGACACCGGCAATGACCAGCTCGGACCACAGGGCCCAGTGGATCTTCACGAAACCTGCAGCAAAGGAGGTGACGGCACCTGGGGAAGACAGCACATTAGGGGACCCCCAGGGTCGCCTGGGGGAGAAAGCATTTTACTAGGTCCCTGGGGTCACCTGGGGGATACAGTGCATTATGAGGGTGGCAGGTCACACAGGGCGGTGTTAGTACCCAGCAGAGTCGAGGCAGCATCCGCACCACCATTGTAGACCACTGAGCTGTCCCTGGTCGGGTTCACCATGTTCCACAGGATGTGCACATAGTAGAGGATCAGGTAGTAGCCGGCAGAGTTGAAGATCCACCAGAGGGACCAGAGACGTAGTTGTGGCAGTCGTAGGCTGGCACCCAGCTCTCGGAACATGCGGACGAGCACCGAGTCCTGCCAGGCTGCCAGCAGCGTGAGTTTAAGCTTGCCATTGGCTGGCTTGCTGGGGCTACCTGGGGCCATGCGGTCTAGCTCAGAGGGCAAGGCAGCATGGTGAGTGGGCACACTGCGGTTAAAGAAGAGGCTGCGCTTGGGGCGCTTCAGAATAAGGGTGAGCAGAAGGCTGAAGACAAGGAAGCCCAGGGATATGTAGTTGAGCACAGTGAAGGAGAGGCGGCCTGCGGAGACAAGTACCTGGCCCAGTACAGAGCTGGTAAAGACACCCAAGAGCACAGCGGTCCGTGAATAGCTGGCCATGCGCTGGTAACGGGCAGGGGGCACAAGGGAGAAGATGTAGGAGGAGTAGGCAATCCGGGCGGCCATGGTGATGCTGTAGAAGAATTCCATAAACTGCATATGCAGCACGGTGTGGCCAAAGAGCAGAAGCAACCACAAGGACACGTAACTCATGCTCTGAAGCACCAGCACTGGCTTATAACGCAGGTAGTCAGTGAGCAGGAAGACTGGCACCAGGACCACCAGGTAGGAGTAGGACAGCACCGGCGTGATCTCGTTGGTGACCTGTAAACAGGCAGGTGTATGACCCCACAGCACCCAGGCTGGTCATCTCTTATAGACAAGGACCCAGGAGACCTAGAGCCAAGCCTCAGGCCCAGCCACAGTGCCACTCAGCAAATGGGAATGTGTAGGCTACTCCAGCGCCACCCACCGCCCACTCCCCAAGGTCAGCAGAGGCTGGTCAGACCATACTGCTTGCTCAGCATGCCCTGGTCATGTTTGGGCACCCAAGACATGATGTCTGGCAGGGGCAACTTGGCTCAGCAAGCTGGGACACCCAAAGTGGGGATAACCTGGCCCCCAAAACACTGTACAGCTTCCCTGCCTAGCAGGCTTGCCTGAGCCATCACCCCAGCAGAAGCCAAGGTAAGCCCTCTGGCTCTGTTCCAGAAAAACCGAGCACAAAGGGGCTCAAAACGGCAGACTTCGGGGTATTCCTTGTGCATGCCAGTCCCTGTGGGGACAGGAGCCAGGGCCAGGGCCAGTCCCCTAAAACCCTGGGAACCTCAGCCACGGAATCTGGGCCCTTTGTTGAGATAAAAATTCTGGATCAGGTCTGGGCAGTCAAACAACCTGTGTGGAGGAGGGTTCTTGGCAAATGGCTGTGCCTTGCTCAGCCAGGAAGGCTCCTGCCAGAGCCAGCATAGGGGGACTTCACCAGGACCCTGTCACTGGCCATGATCTTGAGCTCTGTGAGGAGGCAGCATACAGGTTAGCCTCCTGAGGACCTACTCCATTTTGGAAAGAAACAGCTCAGAGAGACACCTGGGCATGGGGAACAGCTGGGTACAGGGGATAGCTGGACTCGGGATAGCCTGGCGCACAGAGAGCTGGGTGCAGGGGACAGTTGAGCACATAGCACCCCAAGGAGTCTGTGGGTCAAAGTGGAGAACAGCAGGAGGGCCAGGCTTAAAGGCCCCTAGAGCCTCACCTTGCACACATATCAATTAGGAGTACTGCCTCGTCTGTACTTCTAAGCAGACCTGAAGAGTCTGCAGGGCCATTGTTACATGACCCTGTGATCTCTCTCTTATTCCAGGGTCCCCGTGTGGAACTGTTGCTTAACAGACTTCAAAAGTGGAGCAGTGCCTTATTCATATCAGCAAGCACACACAGGTATGCATACATTTGCCCCTGCCCCTGGCCAGGGAGTGCCAGCAGCCTCGTCTGCGTCCAGCCAGCCAGCCTTGGTACTCTGCAGACTCAGATTCAGCCACATCAACCTTGATAGCTAGATAGGGACAACCAGGTGGGGTCACAGACAGCTTCGAGACCTGAACGCAGGCGCAGAAAGACCTCATGGTCCCCCCACCCCCAGCATGGTCATAGGAAGTCTTGGTCACAGAAGTGCCTATGAGCAGAGCACTGACTATAGGCCCATGCCTAGCACTGACCCCCTAATGAAGACCCCAGAGGACTCTGCACTTGATCTAATGAAGTCTCGCCCAGATCAGCATGAGCCATCTGTCTTTAGCACTATCCACGTGCTGTAGCTTCTCACAGACTAAGCTGAGGAGATAATAACATCTGATCTTAGGATGCTGCCCCAATTCTGCTGGGGACATTCCACAGTACACAGTACAGGACTGAAACACTCACCTAAATCCCCACAATTTTAAATCCTGAGATACATGTTTTGGAAGAGCATGAACTCTCAATCACTGGACTCTAAGCATTCTTGATTCAAGTCACCTGGCTCCCAGTGCTGGGGGCAGGGTGGGAGTGTGGGGGTGAGAGAGTGTGCACCTTGAGGGTATCTCATGAAAGCCCAGGCTTGAGCACCACAGACTTGTCTACCCCAAGTGACACCCTTGGCTAAGACAGCCCAGCCTGCCTTCTGCAATGCCCCATGCTCTACTTCCTGCTGGACTTGGCAAACTGTGCAGGAGCTTTGTGAAGGCTGTGACCTCAGCCACACTTGGAAGGCTTGGGAGCGGGGGGAGCATCTATTAGACACCCTGGCACTAGCACAGAAATGAGAACACCTCTTCCTGGCCAGAGCCCAGCCCTTGCCAAGAGCTTTCCACACACCATCTGGCTGGCTAATCCCTAACAAATTTAAGGGGAGAGTGTGAGAAGCTGAGTCTAAAAATCTAGAATGGCTCAGGCATGGCCCCGGGTGGTCTGCAAAGACATGTGGAGAACGAGGGCAAACCAGGCGAGGTACCTTCCACTTCAAGAACAAGCCAGACTGGCAGAGTGGAGCCTGCACTGTAGCCAGGCGAGTGGATGGGCATGTGTGTGGTTGGGGGGCGGGGGGGAAGGGTGACTGGACAATGAGGGCCTTGGCAGAAAGGACAGCAGCAAGGGAGAGTAGAAGAGCAAGTTCTAGGATGAGTGGGCTGTGGGAAGCACAGCAGGCCCAGACCAGGTCACAGGTGACCCAAAACCCCACAGCAGTTGGGGCTAAGGGTTGAGAGACAGCACACAGCTGCCCCCCACTGAGTCTGTGATGGCGTCTTGGTACCTGAGGAAGCAGGGCCAGGGCTTGGGTCTGCCCATGAGTCTAGCGGAGTCCGGAAGAAGCATCTCTCAGAAACCATGACACATATGAAGTAGCTGTGAAGTCTGAGTTTTGATGAAGCTACCAGTGAGCCTACTGAGGGAATGGACATGCAAGCAGACAAACAAACAGACGTACAAGAATACGCAGGAATGGACAGGAATGAATGGACAGAGAAGGCTGGGTGGGAGCCAATGGACACATGGGGCTGGGCAGGAATGGATGGACAAAGGAGTCTAAGAAGAGCTGACACACATTACGATGCCTCAGGGCTGAGGAGAACCAGAGGCAGCTCAAGCCAGGCTGGGAAGAAGGCAGCATGGCTCTTTACAGGTCTCAGGGCAAGGGCTCTCTATGGGGTTCAGGGCTATACTTCACTTCTCACACCAAATAATTCCAAATGATCAAAGAATGGAATATGAAAAGCACAAACTGCAGCAACCAACATGGGGGTCTCCATAAAGTCAGGGAAGGAGCAGCTCAAAAGTCAAGTCTCAAAGCAGAAGCCAATGAATGAAAATGTGGCTGAATTTAAAACTAGACCACTATAAACAAAAAGGATACCACAAACATAAAAGACAGAAAACCCAGGGAGTGAAACATGTTTGTGACACATGTTGGCCAACCCTAAAGACATAGGGAGCTCTTTCAGGCAGTGTGGAAGGCATGCAGCTAGACAGGAACACAGGATGGCTTTAGACAGGTGGTCTCCGAGAACAAACCCAGACAAACGGTGAGCAGCCACAGCAGGAAGCAAACAGGCCCTCAAACAGCAGAAAGATGCCTTTCCCACCTATCAGATCAGCAGGGGCCCAAGTCAGACAGCAGAGCCAGCAGGAAGAGAGCAGGAGTCTTTGATGCACACAGCTGTGGCAGAAGTGTGACAGGTGAGCATCTCAGTGTCAGCAGAATGCCAGTCTGGCTGCCCCTCTGCCTGCGGGTACCCCAAGCAGAACACATGCCAAGGGGACAGTGACTATAGGGAAAGAACCTGGAAAAGCCTTTCACCATCCACCAGCAAAGGACAGGATAAATGCACTGTGGTCCAATCCCATGAGAGAGGATTCAGGTCACAACAATACCAGTTTCTTGGACCTTAAAGGGATAAATCTCCCCAGCCAGACTGGGTAAGAACCAAGCTGCAAAGATGTGTTCTGCAGACACTATTGGCGTACATCTGCCATACAAGTGCCCAGCAAGGACATGGCTCCACAGTGCCCAGAAGGCAGGTGGGGCACTCAGTCAGCGGGGCAGGGGGCCTGATCATGCAGCCCGGGGCTGAGCCTGCTCAAATCCACGGGCTCTGCTACTGCTAGACAACCACAAAGGCTAAAATCCCCTTAATGACATTCCAGGGCCTGGTCAAAAGGCTTGTTTTCTAGAATCTACTTTTTTAACCAGTTAATATGTGATCTGAGCAGACAGCAGATGGGGCTTACGACTTTTTGCTGTACAGGTGTTTGTTATTTTGTTACTTTAACGACAGCTTCCCAAGAAACGTTCATTCCTAAAAACAACCTCAGAGGTATCTTCTCCCAGAGCAGAGAGAGGTTTTGAAGGGTCAGATCCAGTCAGTGACAGGAGCATGAGGGAGAGCTGGTGCCTTTGTGTGGAGGTATCGGGACTTGAAGGGATGTTGGGGAGGAAGATATGGGCACTGGTCCCACCTGGGACATGCCAACACTGGGGTGGCATCAAATGTGGGGACAGTCATATGGCAGAATTACCACTTTTCAAGAGGGCACTCTGAAGGGACATACCTCATTGTCACAGCACCTGCATTTGATTTAGATAAAGTCCATAGCTTGGGAAGGATGGGGGCCAAGACCAGCAAGGAGAGCCAGGAGCTTCACTAAGAAAACACAGGGGACTCGATGAAGGTGTGATACAGGAGGCCCAGGGATTTGGAGTGCAGGGATGAGTGGCCATCCTAAAAGGACGGCAGGAGGTCCTAGACCTACCCCCAGCTTCCAAGGGGCCTGGGACCAGTGCTCAGGGCAGAAAGTGCCATGGGACCCTAGAGGGGATAAGGTCAAGGTAGTGGGGTAGGGGGGCAAGGCTGAGGTGACTACCAGTATGGACATGAGCCCTATGAAGGTACTTGTCACCAACTAACCCTCTCTAAAAATACAGAGTTCAAACAGGAATTCCTTTGGATACAGCCTGTTACCCCTATTCTACATCTGGGTGAACTGCTGGAGAGACACCCCTGCCCAGGGACTTGGGACCCATGCATACTCACTAGTAAAGACTCAGTGAGACCCTTGACCCACTGCCAAGAAAGAAACATTCCTACAATAATCTCCTTAGCAAACAGCTGCCTAAGTCTCTGTTGGAATCAAGTATCCAACAGAGCTTGACATGGGGCCTGGAATGTAGACAAGCTCCAAGGGTCAGAGCCTGCCTGGCCTCCTCCGGTCTCAGGCCTGAGATGGTGCACATATGCTGGGGGGAGGTGAGGGTATGGGAGTAAGGGATTGGGAATGAAGGGAAGGGAACTGTGGGGTGGGAATTGGGGAAAGGGATGGGAGCTGGGGGATGTGGGGGGCAGGGGAACAGCATGGAGCAAGCACTCCCCACACCTAGCTCTCTTCCTCAGAAAGACCCCAAGGCAGAACCCTTCAGCTGGACCTGCTACCCTCAGCCTTGGCCCTTCAGTCTGATAGGGCACTGGGGCACAAGATCCAGGCAGCCCCATAATCTTGTAGCCACCTGACTCTTCCCACCTGCCCGCCTATCCCAGTGATGCTGGGATGACAAAGACCCCACACTCAAATCACAATCCCCCCACCGACGAGACCCACCTCAGCTGGCCACTACTTACCTGCTTCTTGGTGAAATTTCTGTCCCCTAGTAGGTAGGGTGTGATGAAACTCTCCCCAGGCCGCATTTGTGCCATGAAGCCGTAAAAGCAGAGGCAGAACACCAGGCCCCGCCAGGACTTGAGCTCCTGGCCCGGGCTGGGGTCCAAGGAGGGCTGCTTCTCTACTCCTGCCACTGCTGAGCCAGAGGGTGCCATGCCACAGGCAGGAGATAGATGCAAATACTCAACCTGGAAGAGGAGAAGGAGTCAGGCAGCTCCACAATAGTCTGGACACCTCCTTCCCTCTCCGGAACTGACTGCCACTAAGCCTGCCTCCCTCCTGTCACTCAGTGAGGACTAAGAAGGCCAGTGAAAAGGGCCAGGGTTGGCCTAGTAGGGTTCCACGGGGAGGGGCTTGGTCAGGAGTGCACCCCTGGAGCCAGTAAAGACATTGAGACCAGGCCACACCCAGACCAGGCTGTCACCACCCCCAGGGGCTAGAGGTCCCACCAGCCATATGTGTTATAAAGTTTAAATAAAATTTAGTGATCAGTCTGTCAGGCACATCAAGCACTCCTAAGTGCCTCCACCTCCTGGGGCCTGTGTGTCGGACACAGCCAGCCTCCCTCACCACCCAAGGGTCATAGGTCAGCCTCCTCGAGAGGCTGGTGTTGGCACTGGCACAGCTCCTAGGTACAACCTTGTGCAGCTGAGACCTGGCACTATCACTTTTGGCCACCCTGTGACAAGGTGGGCAACGCTGTGGCTGACTGAAAGTGAGGGTCTGGGCTGGGGGGAGGGATAGGGAGAGGTCCTGGTGGGAAGCGGCAGCTCCTCTGGTTGGGCACTCACACCACACCTGGCAGCACTGCAGGTGATCAACACACAGGGTGGGGAGTGGTAACCACAGGCTGAGAGCCCACACCTGGGGCCCCTGAGGTCAAATTCTGGTCAGCCCTGGGGCCTCCGGCATGGATGACAGCAGACAGAACAAGAGGAAGCTGCTCCTGGGGAGAGGAAGAGCAGGGAAAAGCAGGGTGCTAGCTGAGGCTACAGGTTAACAGGGGGCAGACTGAGGACCCTGAAGCAGGCACACTTCTGAAGGGAAGGCAGAGAAACACTGCATGTTCCAAGTGGTACATCCAAGTCAGTCTTCTTCCCCAGGCAAGTCTGGGAAAGACTCAGTCTGATCTCAGACTGGGCGGTGCCAGCCAGTATCCCCCAGGGTAAGGTTATCCCCAGGTTGGCTCCACATGTGAGTGAGGGAGATGCCAGGTGGTGCCAGGCAACAGCATGAGTCAGACCAGGTCACATGGTGAGAACCTGGTGAGTCTTTTCAGTCCCCCTCCATTTGTCCATTTGTCTGATTCTGTCAGGGAGACACCTAGCTTGTTACACAGTGAAGTGCACCTCTCAGACCCCTGATCACCACCTCCACTCACAGAGGTACAGGTCATCACACCTATCTCCCAAACACAAAGTTCCTCATGGTGGGTCATTTTTATCACTGTGTCTCTGTGCCAAGTTAGACTTGTTTCTGTTGAGGTCAAGCACTGGTATAAAGGTCCTTTCTGGGTGACTACATCACAGAGTACAATGCTACAAGGAAAAGTGTCACGTTAGCCAGGGCTTGTGGGCCAAAGAGCTGTGCAAAGCCAGGTCTGTTGCTGAGGCACATGGACCAGCTCATATCAGGAAGTCTTGGGTGTACTGGGTGGCCCAGGCAGATGGCTGTGTTCTTGACACGAGGGCCCACTCAGGAAGGGAGTATACGGAAGGTCTGGCCTTGGAGAGAAATCCTCTCCAATCCCCAAGCAGTGGGCAAAGAAAGTCCCTTGATGTGACCAGCCATGGGTTCCAGGGACCCCAAGAAAAGGCTGCACCAGAGTCCCTTCACTTGGCACTGTCCCCATGCTCAGCCAGACTTACAGGGGCACGTCAAGACCACCAAAGCTGGAAGAGTTCCTTGTGATTCTGTCCATGTCACAGCTGAGGCCCAGGAGTTAGGGGATGTGCAGGACCCACACATGAGGCAGAGAAGGACTTCATAGCAAGGCTAGACCATTTTCTACCCCAGCCTCAAGTAGGAATGGGGACAAGGCCCTTGGTGGGAAGGCAGGACCAGCATGTATCTTAATTTCTTCATGTCTATTTCTGTGATTAAGGGAAAATGAGCCAGGCAACCCCAGTGAAATCCTCCAAGAGTCTTTGGGGTTGGTTTGTGGGGCTACCAGAGAGGTGGGCAGCTGTGAGAATTCCAAAGGAAGGGGATGGTAGGGAAGACACTGGGAAAGATGTTGGGAGGCAGTGGCCCCAGAGGTTACAGGTGCTGGGACAGTCCCCCTGCACCCTGTATGAAAGGGCCAAGAAAGAAAACAAGAAGTCAGAGGAGCGGGCTATCACTCAGTTCCTCCCCAAAAGAGCCAGCCTATAAACAGAATGTGGCAGGCCATGCTACTCAGCTGAAAGATACTCAGATGCCTGCTTGGCTTGGTCCATGTGTCCCAAACCTCCTAGGAACAGCTGGAAGGAGCATTCATTTTTGGTCCTGTTTCTGAGCAGGGACCCTTACATCCAGGCTATGCAGAGTCCTCCCTTGGCCCATATCTCTGAGTGCATCCATTCCTCACTGCTGGGAGATGTTTCAGCCCCAAGACTTCTCCTAAGTTCATGCTCACACTCCTAGGCAAGTTTAGGTAAATGCACCGCTCCCTGGGCATCACAACCACCTCTGGTCAGGATCACCACACCACTCTCACCCCCACTAAGAACTCCAAGCCCTGCAGTAAATAGTCAAGAACGTAACTAAGCCCAAGGCCTTATGCCCATAACTAGAGGCTGAGGCCTCCTACCACTGGCTTCTCCCAACGACTTCAGGACCCAAGTCCCCAACTCCCTATATCCCCCAGGGACTCAAGTCCTAAGACGTCCAGCCTTGGCTTCTCCCAGGGACTCAAGACCTGGGTCCTCTAGCCTTGGCTTCCCTTCAGGGCTCCGGACCTGGGCCCCTTAGCCTCAGCATCCCCCAAGGACTCGAAACCCAAGCCATCACCCTCCATGGCCCCCAGGGACTCAGGACCCAAGGTTCTCAGTCCCCTTATCCTAAGGACTTCACCTCCAGAAGTGATAGGCACTTTCTCACTTGGTGTCATCCCATGTTCAAGACAGTGGTATAAGTACTGAGACACATGTACAAAGCCCTCTTGAATTCCTATGGCTCTTGAAATCCTGGAACCAGAGCTTGCACCATTGTGGGAGCCTGCTAGGAACTCAGGGTCCAGGCCTGCCCCAATCTGTGGGGAAGGTCAGGGACAGCCCAGGACTCTGCACTTTAATACATTCTTCAGGTAAGGAGGGCACTGCTCAAGGTTTCCTGTCAAGGGTGGAGCCTAGGGAAAGGAACACATTCCCAGACAGGGCTGACCTCAGCAACCCTCCCAGTCCAGCCTCACCCTGTCCTATTTAACACGGGGCTCCTGGAAGAGATGGTCACTTAATGGTCTGCAACAGACATTTGTGCTGAGAGCTGTGCACAAATCCTGTCCCTGACCATGCAGGGCCCTCCTCAGTCCCTTCAAGAGTCTACCCTAGACCTGAAGGTAAAGTCTGTATGTGTACCAGGGGGCCTCTGGAATGCTTTTATCTTGAAAAGGAGAGCCCCTGGAGGCAGAGGGCTTATCTTGACTCTGGATTGTGCATCTTCCAGGCATTTACAACACTTTCCATAGAACACTGACAGGAAAACTTGTGGAAGAGTTAGGTTTCAGGTTGCTGACTCCAGAGCTCACAAGGATCCATGGTGGGCTAAGTAAGAAACACTGAGTCAGGGCCCGTGGCAAGAGCCTAGCAGTTCTAAAGTGGGGGCCATCTCCACACAAGAATGCTGGCCCAAAGTGCAGTCTTTCATCTGAAATACATTAACACTAATGAGAAACGTTTTAAACACTGCAAGACCAAACAGACTCATGTCTGCAAGCCCACAGCAACATGCAGGCCAAGGCCAGGTACGAGCCTTGGGGCTTCCCTTACTTGCTCCCTCCAGCATGAGGGCTGGGGCAGGCAGCCTCTGTCCACTTTCACCACCTGGGGCTGTATCATGAGGTTCAGAAGGAAGTATATCCACAAAGGCCAGGATCCTGGTAGAAAGACATGATACTTGGGTGGGCTGGCAGGCAGTGCAATCTACCCACTTTCGCCTGCCTCAGCAGTCTTGTTTTCCTCTCCCAGGAAGTGAACTCAATCACAAACACTAACAAACTGTCACATTTAAGCTTTAAAGATACGTCCTCACACTCCTGAAGGGTGCACTCCTCTGTGAACAAAAAGCAGCAGTCATATCATCACACCCAAGGACAGCACTTGCAAAAGGATGCCATCCATCATCCACATTCTAACAGCTGAGGATACAGAGCTCAGGGGTGGCTGAGTGAGGGCCAAAGCTCAGAGCAGGCAAGATGCAGGGCTGGGCCCAATGCCCCAGTGTCCTGACACCTCACCAAGTGGGACCTGCAGGCCTCTTGTGGGCAGATGAAAGAAATCCCTGGCTGGACAAGGTCCATGGGGAAGGAAGCAGGAGCCTATACTTCTGCCTTCAGGAGTTGAATTCAAATACTTTACCCCAAGTCCCTGCCCCCGTCCCTGCCCTTTCTGACCACTCAACTCCCAGATCTCTGGAGGGCATCTGCTGTCCTCCCAGGGCTAGGAAAGCCTGGACGTTTAAAGATCAAAACAAAAGCAAAACTAATTCTCCTATCTTGTCTTAAACCACCAACTACTCTTGCAGGTTAACCAGAAAGAGTTCACTACATAATTAAAACATATCCTGTAACTCACTGCCGTCAAGTCGGATCCGACTCATAGCAACCCCTCCTTAGGTTTCTGAGGCAGTATCACTACAGAAGAAAAGTGCCCAATCTTCCTTCTGAGGAGTGGCTGGTGGGTTTGAACCTCCAGCCTTCTGGTTAGCAGTCAAATGCCTTAGACACTATGCCACCAGAACTCCTAAAACATATCCTAATAAAAAGAAAAAAATTAAGTTTAAAAGCCTATATCCTGCCCTCAGAAGACTGAATTCAGTGTGGTCCTAAAAGTAAAATTAAACTCCTTGATATCATGTTGTAGGCACTAAACGCACAGTTCAAACATCCTGAGCTGTTGGTCACTTTTGTCCAGGAGCAGACAGTCCTACCTCGAGTCACTGAACTCCATCATTCACTCCTTTGAGAGAAAGCAAGCATCAGTAGTGCCAAAGCAGAGCAAGCCAACCAGGTCCAGACTTTTAGCTGCTGTTGACAGCCCCTCCCCTCTGCACACTCTGCTTCCCAGACTTAGAAAGCGCGGGAGCAGTACCACTGGGCAGGGGTTCCTCTGTTCTGCTTATTCAAGCTAGATGAACTGTTCCAGACTGATGAAGGTTGGGGGCGACGAGGGATCCTTGCAGGGGTCTCCCTTGGAGGCAGAGGGCTCCTGGTCACTTCTTTACAGGGCAGCCCAGGAGGCAGCTCCAAGACCTTCACCAAGCCCTGATTTGGGGTGGTCTGAAAAACAGCTTCCTCCAGACTGGCTCTGGATTTCCAGGCCAGAGTAGATGCTGACCTGCACCCTAACCGGGCAGCACAGAAGTTCTCCCAGAATTAGCATGGTCATTTCCCACACATAGCTTAAGATGGTTTTCCTGGTCTAGAGAAGTTGGGACGACCTACATAGAAAAGGTCCACAGGCAGCTGCCCAGGTTGAGTGATGCCTCTGTGTGGTATGCTCCAACTATACCAGGAGGAGGTCCAAGAGGAAGTGGTTTGACACCTACAAGACAGGCGAAGAAGAACAAAGGACTGCAGGCACCAACTGGGAGGTACGCCAGGCACCCGGCCTGGGAAGAGAGAGCAGCATCACCATGTGAACCTGAGCAAACGCTGGTTGCAGTCAGCTGGGCTTGGTTGACACAGGGGATGGACATGAACCAATGGGGTGACGGGGGCCTACTCTACAGTGTTGAGGGAACTGCACTTACAGCTCCCACTGCCGGCGCTGAAAGGTACTGAGGGGCACTCACCACGCCTTAGTCTAATGGTTCCGAGCGCGTGCGTGAACCACAAAGCGCCAGCAGAGAACTGCAGCGGCTGGAGAGAGGAGAAAGTGGTGGGGGCCAGGGTTCCACGTGGGATGCTGCACGTGTCAGACGAAAGAAAGTCCCAAGTGCAAAACTTAAGGGCAGGTCGGTACAAACTTGCATCCAAGGCGCCCTCGCCCGTGCATGCCCTGTACTCACTCCAAAACCCCAAGCCTGCGCCCCTCAGACACCCCCCTCCCCGCAGCCACCAGCCTACTCCCCCTCCTCGCGTCAGAGCCCCCGGCCTGCGTCTCAACTCCGTGCACGCCCGCAGTGGCCCAGCAGGCCGAGTACCTGGTCAACGTGACCCGCGCTTGGCGGCCGCTCCTCCAGCTCCCGCGCGCAAGCAACTCACGCCGAGCCGTACTACGGCGCCCACAATGCTGCGCGGCGGAAGGCGCATGCGCTGCCAGAAAGCGGGAGCGCGGCCGCTTCACCTGGGTCACGCCCCGTTGCGGGGGGGGGGGGGGAGGCGCTGCTCTCGGGGGCCCCGGGTGTATACCCCGCGGGAGACACATGTACCGCCGTGGGTGTCCCCGCACCATTTACACGTACGCCCAAGCCTCGCTCCACCGTCCACTACGGGCACACATCACGGTCCACGCCGCAGGGGACGAAGCAACCATACCATGCAGGATCATACACTTTCCGGGGTCTCGGAACGCGGTCTCCGAGACCCCGCCCCGGCGCCCCGGGAGGGCGCAGCACGCGGCCGCTACGTGGCGCGCAGGCTCTGCCGTCACGGATCCCCAACGCTGCTCCGCGCCTGAAGCATCTCAGCCACTACTTGGGTAGTGGCCACGGCTCTTGCCCTCTGTCTGGCGGTGACCATGGCCCGCCCATCTGTTGCCTCGTGGACGTGCGCTGACGTCTGGCCTGGGTGATGGCCATACTCCACCTACTGCCCTGGAGGAGAATTTCACCTGTTTAGAGACTGTTTTAGAAGGGACCATTCCCTGGAGAAGGATGCCATACTTAGTCAACGAAAGAGGAGAAGGCCCTCAACGAAATGGATTGACACATTGGCTGCGGCAATAGGCTCGAGTATACCAGGGATCGCGGAGCTGGCGCTGGACCAGGCGTTGTTTCGTTCTGCTGTGCATAGGGTCGCTGTGAGTTGGAGACAACTTGATGGCATCTAACAGCAACAACAGGGACTATTACCCTTTCCTGGCTAACCCATTCGAATTAAGGCATTGGTCCCTGTGCCAGGCTGTCAGGGCCACGGGTGCAAAGCGCCCATCCTAGCAGCAATTTGTGTGGTTGCCCCTGATCCCCATTTGGTGGCATTTTCTATATTCCACGTGGAAGGAGTGGATTCTCTCTGCACTCTTGGCCAATTCATCCTTTTACGGGGGGGGGGGAGACAGTGACACTACCAACAAGGGTCTCTTGGGGTGTGCAGGCAGCTAGACAGCCCCCCCCCAAGCCATATGCCCTGTGCCTGGGACCCACTAGTGCTTCCCTGAGATCCTCCTCCACTTCAAGCACTGACCATGTTCAGGTTCTTGTGCAAAGGAGCTGGAAGCTGGGAAGGGGGTGGGGAAAATGACCTGGCCACTTGGCTGCCAAACACTCTGGGCTTCCAGGATGGGAAGCTTAATGGGAACAGAAACACCTTGCAAGTTCCAGACTGCACAACCCAGCAAGTTGTATGTAGAAGGATCCCCATGGGAAGGCCCTAAAGGTTTAGCTACCCACAGGCCCATGCCAGAGAATAGTCAGATGTGACCCAGGCCTCCTTGAGGGCTCTGAACCATCTTTATGATCATTGGTATGCTGGAGTCCAGTGTTGCAGCTATTTCATCTATCTCATTAAGGAAGCCCATGTTTTCACTGACCATCTACTTTACCAAGCATGTTGTCCTTTTCTAGCAATTGGTCTTTCCTGATAATGTGCCCACAGTAAGCTACTCAAAGTCTTGCTATCCTTGCTTCTAAAGAATATTCTGGTGGTGGTCTAATTACCTAGTGTCACTCCAACAGCAATATACCACAAATGGGATGACTTTAACAAACAGGAGTTTATTCTCTTACATTTTGGAGGCTTTAAGTCCAAGTTCAAAGTGCCAGGCTCTAGGGGCTAGGTGAAAGCCCCTCAACTTTGGGGTCCAGCTCTGCCTCCTGCTCCCAGCCCAATGGAGCTAGAGGCATTTCTTCACTCAGACAGCTAGAGGTTTTTCTTTACTCAAATTCTGGCTGCTGAGGCTGACAAGCCCAGGGTTGACAAGTAAAAAGGCACAGTTCCAATGTTACCAAACAACATGGCAGGCCACTAATTTGAAGTCCAGATGAAGTCCCAAGATCAGTAGGGCATGGCAAGCTGTTGAATAATGACTGGGCTACATGCAGGGTTCAAGCGTGCCAAAAGGCTAGAGACCATTCCCAAACCTGCTGCTTATATACTGGAAGTAAACCACGTCCCTAAAGCAGCTGCACCGATAGATTCCACCATGGAGTTAATTACCAGTCTCACCATGGGGCATAACTACATCCAGCTGCCCAGACACTCTACCAGGCCCAGCCAAGTTGACACACAAACTTAATTCACAAACTTAATTACCACAGGCAGTATTTCTTCTAAGACTGATAATGTTCATTTGTTCTGGTTACCTAGTGCCACTCTGACAAGAATATACCACAAATGGGATGGCCTTAATGAACAGGAGTTTATTCTTTTACAGTTTGGACCAACTTCACAGTGCCAGGCTCTAGGGGCTGGGTGAAAGCCCTTCAACCTTGGGGTCCAGCTCTGCCTCCTGCTCCCAGCCCAATGGAGCTAGAGGCATTTCTTCACTCAGACAGCTACAGGCTGCTGAGGCTGACAAACCCAAGGTTGACAAGTAAAAAGGCACAGTCCCGATGTTACCAAACCACAAGGCAGGCCATTAATTTAAGTCTATTGCAAGTCCCAAGGTCGGCAGAGCATGGCAGGCTGCTGAACATGACTGCATGCAGGGTCCAAGCGTGCCATAAGCCAAGGTTTCTCTCTATATACAGGAAGCAGACCACATCCCAAAGGCAGCTACTCAGCTGCTTGTGGTAGATCCCACCGTGGAGCTGATTGTCAGTCTTATCATGGGGAATAACTACCACCAGCAGCCTAGCCACTCAACCAGGCCCAGCCAAGTTGACATACAAACTGAACTACCACACCATTCTGGCAGTCCACAATATTCAGTGTTCTTCACCAACACCGTAATTCAAATACATCAGTTCTTTTTCAGTCTTCCTTCCCTATTGTCTAGCTTTCACATACATTTGAAGTGATTGAAAACACCATGGCTTGAGTAAGGTGTATCTCAGACATCAAGCTGACACTTTTGGTTTTTAACACTTTAAAGAGGTCTTTTGCAGAGATTGCAATACTTACTTTGATTTCCCTGGACATTGATCATTCATCCAAGAAGAATGAGATCATTCACAACTTCAATTTCTTCTCCATTTATCATGATGTTTTTTATTCGTCTAGTTTGGTAAAGTAGAGGGTCAGCAAAAGAGAGGAAGACCCTCAATGAGATGGATTGACATAGTGCTGCAGTAATGGGCTCAAACACAGCAACTATTGTGAGGATGGCACAGGACTGGGTGGTGTTTCATTCTGTTGTACATGGGGTCACTATGAGTCAGACCCAGCTCAATAGCACCTAACAACAACAATGCAGATCTGGAGGGAAACAAGGCAGATGCAGTGGCAGGGAGGAGGGAGCACAAAGACAAAGGAATGCAGGAGAGTAGTTTCCCTCTCTCCTCCACTTCTCCCTCCACCTGCCTTCACCAGTTCTGGACTTTGCTGTCACTGGTGCACTAAGGCCCCACTGTGAGAGCAGCATAGGCCTTTATCACCCAAGGGGCAGCACCCTACCACACACACCCTACAACCTCCCCTTCATCCTCAGCCTCAACCCCACCTCAGTGGTAGGTGAGAGTTTGAAACATGATTTCTAGGTTTAGGCACGGTGGCATGAGGTGGTCCCACCTCTTGAAAGACAGACTGGGTCCTGAGTGACCCGCAGCTTCCCCTTTCCAGGAGGCCTCAGACGTTGGCCTGTCCCCCCATTCCCCAGTCTCCTGGGCTCCCAACCACTGCCCAACTCCTGCCCAGGCCCCGCCAGGCTAAGCCAGGACAGATTGTCCTCTGCTGGCTTAGTTCTAGAGGTCAGGGCTTAGGGGAGACGTGGTGGAGCCAAGCTCAAGAGAGCAAGCTAAAAAGGTAGGATTTTTTTTTTTTTTTTTTTTTTTTATCTTACAGGACTGAGGTGGAAAGAGGGGAGCTGGGACAGGAGCCAAGGAGACCCAAGGTGACCTTGAGCTGATCTCTGAATGAGACCTGGACCAGAATTGAGACATGAGGGAGGGAAGAAGACCAAAGAGGAACCAGAGGAGGAGGGGTAGGGAGGGGAAAATGTAGAAATGGACCAAAAATTCTTGGGAACAAAGACCCCAAGCAGTGAATTTTCAGAGGTTTGGGTTGCTGCAATATAAAGTCCCCCCTTTCCTCCAAAGCCTCCAACCAAGAGTTTATTTATCTCCAAACACTCAAACACAAATTCAGACACGCCCACACATATGCTCACACATGTAGGCATGCACGCTTACATACACAGCAGGCACACATGCTCATACTTAGACACACATGCCTACACACATGCAGGCATGTGATCACATACACACAGGCACACATGCACTCAGACACATAGGCATGTGCATGCTCACACACAGTGACTTCTGTGCTCGTGTGAGTGTTTTGTACAGTGGGAACTGAAGCCTGAGCCTGAGGCCCTGCAGATGCCCCTGGGATTAGGACAATAAGACAATGAGGTGGCCCTTAGCAAACTGGCTCAGCAGGGTACAGTGCTTACCAGTAGGGGTCGGGGTATGCTGAAGGCCTAAGCTGACCATCCCTGTTGTCAGGTGCTGTTGATGAGTGCCAGTGGTGACCTCTGTCCTCAGCAGTGGGCATATGTAGCTTACCCTTCCCCCACAGGCAGTTACCTGTTCCTGAAGAGCAGGTCTTAAACTAGATGCTGACACGCAGGAGAAGGAATGATTCAGACACAGCAGCAGTCATTGTGGGAAATGAGAGGTCCCACTCTCAGTGTGCAGGCATTCCAACATGCACCTTCTGGGAAAGACTCCAATGGTGGACCCAAGGGCAGGCCACAGCAGGGTCAGCAGGCAATTGCATCCTCCAAGAAGAGGTACTTTAGAGTACTGTGCGGGCCAGGTCTCCCTAATTGCCGTGCATCCTCACCACCATACAACCATCAACAAATATATCTCAGCACCTCCTGTGCCTGCTAGACTCCAGTCAGGACATGTGAGGGCCTAAGTGACCTCTCAGAAAAGGCTCTTCTGGATTGGGTCCTTTGGAGGCTAATTAGGCCCCAGGGACACTCAAAG